ATCACCTTAGCTTCCAGTGGTGATGTTAACCTTCAACTGTCTCCGAAGACGCAGGTGGAGGTGGGAACAGACAAGTATCGCTGGAGCGAAATAGCAAATGCACCGGAAACGTTCTGAACACAGTGCGTGTTTCAGTGATGTTTTCTAATGAACATGCGGTTTTGCCACAGCAAAACGTGAGTTTGACAATAGAAAACCAAAGGAGAGACGACCTGAATGCCTAACTTTTTGGAAGTGTGAAAACGATGCCGCTACAAGAGCAATGTGACTAAAGCTAAATGGTTTGCCTTTAGCCTGGCTGAAGGGGAGTGACCCAAGGCTAAATGAGACTCTGCGGGCCCTGATTGGCGTCGTTGCCTTGTTCAGTCTCTGTGCTTTGCCTTCTGCATTCCGCCTTTGTGTCTTGTTCTGTTCTGCGTGTCATCCTCAATTTGTCACAATATTGCTCACGACCCCTTTTCTTCCAACTTATTCCCATATGCTTGCTGCATTGCTTTGTGCCCGCCGGCAGGACAATAGTTAGTAACCTGCAACCCTTTCCCCTTATACAAACCTACAGGATGAGAGTGGAATTGTGGCTTATAGTATGCATTCTGATTGACTGTAGTTCGGGGGGTGGAAGCTCCGCCACTGGAATTCCATTGGGAAAAATCAGTCATCTCAGATTCTTTAAAGAAAGTGTCAGTGTTACCAAACTTTCGCCCTCCTGAAGGTTTGCAGTACTTGGCTTGTCGGTTGCACAAACCGTTCCCCTCTTCCAGCAGGAGAGCATTGTGCAACTCCAGCACTAAACGACTGCCACATTGCTGGATTTGACCAGTGCAATTCGAGAAACTCCAAGCAATACATTGTGAGGGCCTATTCCAACATTACTCGAATCTCTCTCTCTCTCTCTCTCAGCGCCTGAGCACAACACACGGAAACGGCTTTTATGTCAATCGGAGAGAAGAAGAGCGAGAGAAAGGTGGAGTCTGGTACGGTGCTGCAGAGGTACAATGATGCACGGCGCTAACCGGCAGACCACAATGCCACAACCCCCAAACAAACTAAATTTGAGGTTTCACGTGGGGGCCGGGCTTGTGCCATAGGAAAGAACACGGCAATGATGCCAACCGGGGCCTTTCGCAGCTTGCAAGTCTGAGTTGAACGCAGCATCCAATATGCTCCGCAGGATTGTTTTTGCGGACGCCTCGCAACATTAGTTTCCTATGTTCAGGCCCCATTTTTTTAAAGTTTGTTACAGCTTCAACAACCTCTATGATGAAAAGTGTGCAATCTGTAAACTCACATGCCGCTTTCGCGAAAGCCTCTATAAGAAGTAGTGTTGGGAAAGCTTTCACGAAAGTCGATTTTCTGCGAAAGCAGCCTGGAGTAACACTGGAGCATATATACAGAAAATGTACAGGCAGTTTTGGAAGCCACTTTGTTGGCAGGGTGACGGGGAAGAATCTCTCTCTCTCTCTCTCTCTTCATGGCCGATAGAGGTCGGAGGACCGCTTTCGACGCCATGAGAAGTGCTAAACCCAGATTGACCACAAAAAAGAGAGCAGCAAGCAAGCCTTCCAGTCGTCGACAATGAACACAGTGATCGCAGCGAATTCGGATAGAGACGCAAATGGCCCGAAACGCGGGGTGGTTCTCACACGCGGAGAACACCTGCTCAAACACAACAAGAGAATATACACAAGGGTGCCGCGCTGTATCAGAAAAGCGGCTGCAGTAAACCGTGAGCAGTTATGCAAATTCTATACCAATCACACCTCGTCCTACCCCATCCCTGATCCACAATTTTCTCGGAAGCAAGGTGCATGCTGAGGCCAATAGCTTGGGTTTGTCCTTTTACCTGTAACAGTCAGTAAACGATTATCACCACTACTTTTGAACAAGGCCTTTGCTAACCATCATCATCCACTGCCATTGGGAATATATTGGATATATAGTATAGACACAACCAATAATAACGCCATTTCGGAGGCCCCACGAAAACTTCCCAAACATGCAACTGCAAACCGTAAAAAACGAGGTTTAGCGCCGGACCTTGGTTAGCGCCGTTGGCAAAAAAAAAGGACCCTGAAAGAAGTGGAGAAAACATGTGAAGATGAAAGTATACAGTATAAATGCATAAAGCAGGTTACCACGCTGCTTTAAACCTTCAAAAGTTTTTTGCTTGTGTCTCATATCAGTAAGCCGGTGCCTGTGGTTGTCCTGTCAGCATCATCGTCTTCAACATCGTTTTCCTCACTGTGCCGTCTTATTTGCCTTATCATTATTGTCATTTGTCCCTGTCCCGTTGAAATAGTGATGCATTTTGAGATGTAGACAAACATGTAGATCTGGATGCCCTTTCGTAGATCGGACGCTGTTTTTTTACTTCCGACCACCTCACTGTAACCTAGTCGACCTGTGGACCATTATTGCAGCTGCATTGCAAGGAAGCCGCACAATCATACCATCTCTGTGCCGCTCAGACTCGCACGAATGCACTTGAGTGCACTGTTCAGCTTCAGCCTTTCCAGGTCAGATCTTGCATTCATCGGTGGTTACCATGGTCTCGTAGATCTTCGTGTCGGCGAAATTGCCCGGATATGTGCCTTGAGCGGAAGAGAACAAAAGGTGATATGATGAGCTTCATCTTGGGCCCCTGGCGCATGATTGAAAGTATCTGCTCTTTATTAAGGTGATGATGGTGCAGGCGTTGTTCTAAAGGATGGCTCTGAAATTGAATGCGGCCAACGCCCCAGCAACTCAAAAAACCAAGTCTTGCTATGCGAAGGATGCTTGGAATCATTGGGGTAGCTTGTAGCTGAGATACTATCATCAAATGCACTGGTTTCCACTTGAACGATGAGCTGCCTGAGGCCCTCTCCAATATTGGTTTTGTTTGGCTTGAAGCCTTGAAGCCCCTAAGCTCGCTTTTGCACCCTGTAGGTAGTGGGCACTTCAAAAATGCACTCCTACGGTCTCATCGACTACAATTTGAATTACCAGGCGTCGGTACATCGGCGCTTGCGCTCCATCGTGACTTAATTGAACATTCTTGTTGCAGTAAACCCAAGACCTGAGGCCGTCTAGCAGAAGGCAGAAGGTATTTGGGGTTCATGGCTGGCCTTCCTTTCACTACAGGCTGAGCCCTTGCTTGACCAGGGTCAGCCCAGTCCTTGGCATGAAGATTGACAAACATGAGCCAGGAATGCAATCAGCAGACTTAGGTTTGGCAGCTCAAAGGCAACAGATGCCGAAGCCGAGACACCTGCTTTGAGAGTCTTTAGCTCGGATTTTTCCACATGAGCTGCCCAAGCTGTTCAACCTGCTTTTGCTCAGGAAATTAACGAGCTAGTTCAGAAGCCGGAGTTCTTGAGGAGGGATTGCGTCCACAGACGGATATTGTTTTTGCTCAAGCTTACGCTATGGAAGCCCTTTGCCTGAGGGGGGCTCCAAGTCTACAAGACATTTGGTCTCGACGAGGTTCGCAAGACGAAACAGACAAACACCATTGAGCATTTACTACTATATAGTAACAAGAAGCTACTATATAGTAACAAGATGTAACAAGGCACCGTACTACTAGTAACACGAAGCTACTTTTTAAAAAAGCCAGACAAAACAGCATCTCACATCGCGCCAGACACTTCTCAAACCACAAGGGAACCCGTTTGGCTCGGGCCAGGGTGGCCCAATCGAGTCTTGGCATTTGCCAGAGCTACTTGTAGCACAATCACGGGCGCATACTTCTTTGATAACTTGCTTGCTTGCTTGCTTGCCTTGACTTGACCATGTTGCTTAAGCCCAAGGATTGTTTGTCCTACTATTTTGCTTGGCTGGCCGGCTGCCTAGAATTCTCGTTATTTGCCAGAAGTTCAGTGCCCTTTGTTGTTGTATGCAGGTCGACCATCCAGCAGAGCAGGAGAGGAAAGCATGAATCAAAGCAGTCAGACAGACATTGTCAGACAAACGTCCGGCTCGAAACTATTCGCGTTGCATCAGACTTGACGGCACATGTTTGTCAGGCCGCATTGCTAAAACACAGTGGGGCACCAGCTCAGGAGCAATTCATGTGTGCAGTCGAGCCGTGTTAATTTTTGGCAACTATTCTTTGTGCTACTCTCTCTTTGGATCAATCATATTAGAATCACGTTGCAGGAAATGGTAATGTTAAATGCTCAGGAGCCACTGAGGAATGCAGAATCTCCTTTGTCGTGAGAGCATTTTGATGTTTCACAGCTCCGTGATCATGCCCGATGGCCCAGGTTGTGGTCTAGTGCGATTGGCCAAAACAACAGCGCAACTTTGGTCAGGCAAGCCGCTTGCGTTAAGTTTCCCTAGAAATCTAGGAACCAAATCATTAGTGCAAGCGCTTCTTCAAGGAAGCCCCCCCGCCCTCAGGCAGGGGGAGCTTCCTTGAAGAAGCGCGAGCTACCCTGCGTCCTAGGTAGTAGCGTTCTTGTAGCTACTAGCGACTCCCTAGCTTCTACTAGCTACCTACCTAGCTAACCTACCTCACCTCTACACCGCCTACCCCCCTTTAATAGAAGAAGAAACATATCTCATTATCTCTCACCTTCAACTGAGGCTAATCAGCGCTCTTGCTGCCTTAGGAAAAGATCAGAGTTAGGTGCCAGACCGCTAGGCCCGAAGCAGTCCATCTCCATACTTTTGATTTCAACCATGCTTTTTTCTTTCTAAACAGTTTACAGACAGAATGCCAAAGTATCCATAAATTTGAATAGCGAATAAAAACGAGGATAGACATTCCTTTTTTGGTCGATCTTTTTTGGAGAGGTACTGCTTCGGGGGATGCGGCACTGTAGCTATGCACTCTTTAGATTTCCTGTGCGGAACCTCGTAGGTCTCGTAGGAAAGGTTGCAATGAACAGCCTTACAGTAGTGTGACTGCAGCGCTTTGCGGCTGCAAAAGGTTGTTGTCACTTATCTGTGTGCCATCCTGCGCGTCCTTTGGATTTTGTGCCATCCCATACGCTGCCAAACCTTGGAGAGATCAGGAGATCAATCTGAATCCGTGGGCGCTGTGGCGAATTCAGGCAATGGCATGTTGAAAGAAAACGTTCTTGCAAACAAAGTTGCACAGTAAACAATACGCGGCACAGTTTTTTCGGCCATATGAAATATGGCATGCTTTCTCACAATGCTGCTATGCCGGCGTGGGGTGGGGTATGACTTATGGTATCAGAGGCCTACAACGGGATTGCAGGCCTACACGTCAGATGATTTGTGGGCTGCTTCGATGCCGGTAGACCCGGTAGGATTTTCCCATCTTCGACTCTCTGTCGATCTTCGATGTTGATTTGAAAAATATCTAGGAACCAAATCATCAAGGCTGAGCCTTAAGCTTAGTAGCTTACCTCCTTAGGCTACTTAGCTTACTTCTAAGCCTCACCCTATGGCCTGACCCCACCCGCACATAACTACTTTCATGTTCAAAAACATGGTTTATTCAAAAAGAACTGTCCAAAGCTTCTTGTCTTCGTCCAAAGAACGAATTCAATGTTCGGGCGGGTGGTTTTGATATCGTGTCCAAGACCTGACGCGAAGGACGGACACTGCCACGTGTTGTTTCCTAAGACAGGTGTATTTAGACGGTTTTTATATGTGACATATATAAATTGGTATAATTTGCATTATTGTGAATTACTACTATTGTTACTGTCATTACCTTTACTAATCAAATTGTCAATAGAAAAGTAAAGGTGTTTCATTGGTCTTAGTTTTGAAGCTGGGCATAGCAACAACGGTTCTCTCGACAGGTTGCATTATATGCCGTTGAACTCGCGATGCACGCGCCCTCAGAGATCTGAAATTGTTGGTTGCCAAGCAATGCCATGCGTTTTTCCGCAGGCGATTCTTCGGGAATTCGTGCGTTGCAGGCTTGCATGACTCATGCTGACTGTGGTGGGGCCGTTGAACCAGTTCTGCAGATGCAGGAAAAAGCCGTGTGGTTCCATCTGTGCCCGAAGAGGTGGTTTGAGCTTCGCCGCTTTCAGCACGGCGTTGCACTTTGCTACTACTGCACGGCGTCGCAGGCAGCATATGCTGCACAAGTACAAGATATGCTGCCGGGGTCTCGTCAGAAGCCTGGAGAGGTCTTGCTTGCTTTTCACCCAAGGCTTGAGATAGTTCACCAGGCTGGGCACAGTACACATACGACTCATACTCTCATAAGGAAAAAAGATCTACTTGCATATACTGTATGTATTCATTATGGGCTTGTATTTTAATTGGCGGACCCCTCACCGGTCTATTTTCTTTCTTCAAGGGGATCTATGGTGTTATTCCAATGCGCACCGGTTTGTCTGTATATATATGTATATCTATTGTAGCAGCGGTAGCCCCACCCGGGGCATCGCACCGGCGCCCGTTTTATGCCTGAGCAATCGGGTTCCTGCGGTTCATACGGCCATGTCACGATTCACACTCCTAGGAATCTCAAAATTCGCGAACGATCTGCGTGCCAGGATAGGTCACATTGCTTGACGAAGGGCCTGGCGTGAAATTCATTGCCTCCATATAGGACATTATAGGACTTCAGGTCCTGCACCTTGGCGGAGCTAATGCCGGAGGTGCGAACCCACTGCAGGTAGCTGCACATGTCCTTCGATTCATGGCTCATCGTCAGCATCTCGTGGTAGCGGAGGTGTTGACTCTTGACCTTGGGCAAGGTGCAGATGGTGGCTCCCCATTCGGTCAAGGAGCTGATGCCATTTGGCAACACCACGGCCTTCTCTTTGCCACTGGCCTTTCCTGGTGGGATCGGCTTCTGGTGTTTCTCGGACATTCCCATCGCATGATGAACTGTCGTTGATGATGGCATGGGTCCGGAAGAGGCATTCACCATCTCGAAGCCATGGTCGCGAGCTGACTCATTGGAGCACAGGCGGCGTTTTGAACCATCATGCATGCTTCCATACGACGAGGGCTCAAAGGCGGCATCCAGTTCAGCATCAACTTCATCTTTAACCTGGGCAAGGACACTGGAAAGCTGGCCGGACTTCATGAGCTCCTTTAGCGAGTCATACGCTTCCTTAGACACTGGAGCGCTCTTGGACATGGACATTGGATCAGACTTTTTGCTGACCCACCTTTTAACACACAGGTACGGGCAAAGGTGCACTTACACTCTGAGGATCAGGGTGTTCGAGCGTGCTTCACTGCTTTTGAGCCACATGACACGTTCATCGCATTCAAAGCTGACAAGCCTTGACTTCCCCTGTGCCACTGCGAACAGTTGCTTTCTTGGATTTGACTTAGACAAATCACAACCCCTGCGACGCGAACGATCGATGTGCGCTCTCCGAGATCAACCTTGGCCCCCAACTTGACAAACACTATGAATTCATATTATGACGGCACTCAGTGATTGTCCTGAGTGTTCCAACTCCCCAACATGCCGTTGCCATCGGGTTCACCCGACAACGCTATGAGCAAGATTTCTATAACCCTGTTCGGCAGCATCACATGGCATGCTCACCCCCAAACAAAAAAATGTGGAAGCGAAGCAGATCCTTGGAGGTCACAATTGTGGCTCCTGGCTTTCAATCCATTTCTGCTTCTTTCTTTCTTTATGCTCGGCTTCCATACGTTGTTGTCGAATCCTTCGAGTTGTGCGCTCTTCTCTCAGTTGCTTTTTGCGTGCCAACACTTGAGCTTCGGCATGCAGCTGGTATTTGCCAAGGGACAAGGCTGAGCGAAGGAGGTCAGCTGCTTCCTGCTGATCCTTTGTCAAACCATCAGCTAGCATCAGTTCCGTCGGACACCACCTGATCTTAAGGCCGGAACGAATCATTGACTGTTTCACTATACCTAGGTCAATAGCAATCCTTTTATCTTCTTGTTTGGATATGGCAGAGACCGAAGTGAGATTGTCAAACAAGGACTTGCAATCTGTGATACCTGTAATTGGCACACGTTCGATCTGATCACGAAACTTCAACTGCGAATTGGATTGAGGTGGAAAGTCCTGAACTTGTTCCGATGTCCTCAAGTCGAAAGGTCCGTTTTTAGCTTCTGCAAGCATGAGGGACATCCATTCGCATACTGCTGAGGCCGTTGAATATGCCTGAGCCTCGCCTCCTAGTGTACATGCTACTTTTCTGGGCAATCTATATGATTTCCAACAGAAAGGGGACCAAACACTCTCTTGGTTTTTCTGGAGTCCTGGACCTACGAAAGCGGCGATGTATCCAGCTTGAGTACTATGACCCTTTGCAGTACCGAATCCTGCATCAGAATGAAAACACAATTCCAACTGAGACCATGGGATGTGTTTCACCATGATTTCTACCCCACTGTATTGTTTTGCTCGATGCACCAGTTGGTTTGCGCAATGAAGATCACTACCTTGGGCTCTGGAAAACACTGTTGAGAGAATGATGTTTGCACACACAGATCCGGCCGACTCTGACTGCTCAGCCAGTTGGCTGCGCCGTTGACAGCCCGAAGCACGGATATTTCTCTATCTGTAGCGAGTGACTCTTTCTGACGAGCTCTCTCTTTGGTCATGTTTATAGGTCTCATGTGTTCAGCGTATTCTTTTTGGCCATACGAGATCTCTTTGGTGTCAGTGTCTTGACTGTAAGTCACTCCACAGAATTCTCCGTTTCCCCGCCTCCATTTGCGGTAGGGAAACCGGTGCTTGAGCTTTGCGATGGCATCTTCATACAGTGGACCTTCTCCTGCTGTGATGGTATCGTCAACATGTGAGCCTAGGATACCACACAAATCACCGGTCTTTGGATCATGCAAGAAGTACAGACAGCTATCGAATTGCGATCGACGAAACGAGCTTGCACGTGCGGCTTCATCAAACGTTCCCCACCAGTTCATTGGAGCGTCGTTGGACCCATAAACGTTTCCAAGAACCTCTATCACATCATTAGGATCCAGACCAGGTACACCCCCTGGGGGTTGAGAAGCATACAGTGGCCGATACCTCTTAGCTATGGGACCTGCCTCTAGGAAGGCTCCTTTGACGTCTCCTAGCTGAAGAACCCACTGTCTACTTACGATGACTTGCAACAACAAGGCTCGTGAAAGAGGATGCATGGTCGGACTATGGCAGGCTCCACTAGTGATTTTGTCATGAAAATCAGGGTCCAAGTGTCCTTGAAGACACCAGCGGCTCTTGATTCGAGCTCCATCTTCATCTTGCTTGTTGATCGCCACGAAGCGGCTTCCGATAAAACGATCGGGAAACCGACGACGAATTTCTTCTGCTTGTGCTCCTCTCCAGACCCGAACAGCATTCTTACCCTCTAGTGTTTCCCACTCCCCGGTTTTGGATTTATCGATTTTTTGCTGCATGTCAGGTTCATTTCCATAAGCTTTGATTTCTTTCTGTTGACGTTTCTGCAAGAAGGCAGCAGTGAGTGTCTCAATGAGCGTTCGTCCATTGAGCTTGTCGTGTCGGGTGACATCAGCAGACAACACTTCACTAAGCAGCATATCATCTTCGTCACCTGTTTTCAGCTTTCGTGGTGGTGGTGAATCAGCTGAGGGATCTTGACTGGCTTCTCGTTTAGAGCTGGTCCCTCGAGGACTCACTGTGCTTTCTACCTCTGTACTGGGACCATGATCTTGGAGATGCCGTTCTATCAGGGACGGAATCACTTCATGCATCATTTCGGCAAAATCATCTTGGGCCATGACTGGTGGCCTGCTCAGGTACTGAGGTGGAGATTTCTCGGAGTGCCTAATCCTACGGATGGGTCCATAATCTTCTGTCCGAGACCTGACTGAAGGGACCGGTTCGATCTGTTCACTCGTGTCCATGGGCACGGGTGGAGAGGTCGCATTTGCCTGCTCTGGAACTTGGCTTGCTCGAATCTCTGCTGCAGTCAGGGGTTCTTGGGCTCGAATTGCCTGATTGCGGATTTGTTCGAAAGCTTGCTCTGGTTCTGGGGGATTGTCAGAGTTCACTAGATCGACGAATTGACCCTTCGGAAATTGACCCTTCTCCAGGAGGTTCTTAATACCCAGAAGCTCATTTGAGTCGAACTGAGCGACTACTCTCTCTTCATCACTGGCCGGTCTCACCTGTTCGGGGGAACAACGAAACAGACTACGTCTATGAGCAACAATCCAGTTCACTCCCAGTCGACCGAGGACCATTCCGGCACCATGCCATCTACCCCCCTTGATTAGATTACCTTGATCCCATTTCTGTGACCTCCAGTAGTATACCCAATCCCCTGACTGAATATCTTTGCGAGGCCGAGGTCGAGCACGGAGCGCCGCCCAAAAGGCGCGATGGTCTTGGCACTGCAGCACCGCGAGACGTGCTTTCTGACGGATATCGTTCGACCGTTGGCTTCCACTGTCCATGAGGATGGCATCTGAGGCCGCTACATGTGGATCTTCTTGGAGGAGATCAGTTGGCGCCCTGGGGTTTCGACCGAACACCACTTAATATGGACTTGCTCCCTGTTCTGTGACGAGGCTATTCTTTGCTACTTGGGTTTGCAGAACACAATCAACGAATTCTTCAGCGGATGTGGGTCGACACTCATCTATGACCTTTTCAAAGATCCTCGCAAACCATTGACCGTGTCTCTCTACCTTTCCTAGTTGCCAATGCGAATCAGCAGCCGTGAACCTTTGATCTATACCTAAAGACTCACAAAAGGAACCTAGGGATTCACTCAGATTGGTTTTGGCGGGATCCATCTCTAGCTGCTGAGCCGGACCAGCCCACGATATCCAAGAATCTCGAAGGACTCCTTTCAGCACTTCGGCCGACTCACGCTCAAAGATCGGAGCCATGACTTGAAGTGAGGTCGCATAATCAACGATGCTCACGCATGGCACCAGTTGATTCGGCTTCCATCCAGGCAAATATTTCACATCCATGCCAATACGATCATTGAACGTCCATTGACGTGAGCTCTTTGCTGGCAATGCGCTGGACGGTTGCACGTGATTCTGGCACACTGGGCACGAGAAATCCTGGGCCAGACGGATGGCTGTCTCTGAGGCTTTGCTATGTTTCAGGATACGAACGAGATCTTTATTGCTCGGATGGCCTAGATTAGTGTGTAATCGCTTCAGTGCTCTTTTCACATTCTCATGAGATTCTCCTGACACTGATTGCTCTTCTTCCTCATTGGCTCCAGCCATCTCAGCTGCCACAGGTTCAGCAGCGATGGGTTCCGCTGCAAGACAGGACACATCGAGTTCCGACAGGAGCGCTTCTGTATCCATGCCAGATTGACTGGGTTCTGACACAAACAGTTTCAGCATGCTCTCAACAAACTGAGTTGTGTATTCGGCGCAAAAGCTACTGACATTCTGCCCTGACCTAAGTTTGCCAGCGATAGGTCTATGCTTGGCGCAACCTGGACATGTTCGGATGTGGCTCAAGTCGCTCTCGGCTGATGTGGACATCAGCAGACCCGTGGGTTTGAGAATGGGCAACTGTGAATCAGGACACTTCAACCCATATGCACACATATCCACTCGCTTGAGCCCATACTTTCGTTTCAGGGGTTTGACCAGGGGTTCTTCCCAAATCTCGGATCCCAGTGGGTGTTCCCAAATGAAATCTCCCCCACGTTTGATCTGCTTATGTACCTGTTGCACACAGAAACGAATTTGCCGACGGGACTTCTGGATCAGGCGAGCTTGTTCGAGTGGAGTGCGAAAGCGTCGGTTGAGGTGGTCCCATCCACCTCGATGCTTGCACTCAGGGCACACAACCAACAATGCTGGTGCAGCCTCATCTAACATTCGATCGACTTTCTCTTGAATTCGTGGATCCTCCAAGTCCCAACCCTGGAGTATGTCGAACGACAGGCCTTCATGTCCCCAACTTTTAGCTACTGTAGCAAATCTTGGGGGTGAGAAAAGCTCAGCAACAAGAATGCGAGACTGCGAGCGAGCTTCGGATCGATTGGTTTGAGCCAACAAACACCGACATTCCTTTTTCTTGAGGGTGATTTTTGTTTTCACACTTCCAGCCTTGGAGTCCAGCTCGATGGACTTTGCTTTCACTTTGGGCTCAATCTGCGGAGTAGCTGCAGGTGCACTAGGCTTGTTGGGCGGATACGGGAGGATGTGAACCAACAGTTGTCCTGCTTCATTGGTGATCATGTCTGTCACCTTGCCACACACGGTCATTTTCCCAGCAGAGAAGTCCAGCTGAGCCTGCAGACGTTGCAATGTCGGACGTCCCAGAAGCAACGGAGCGCTTCCGGCAATCACTGCAGCGTCGATGATGCCATATTGGGAACCAATGCCAACAGGAATTCGAGCAGCCTCAGTTGACGTTTCCACTGCACCGTTGCCGAAGCGAAAGGTGTTCTCTGTAGCATAACGGACAGGCTTGGCATAGCCCTTGTCAACAATCATGCTCTCCAACTGCTGCAATGTACTGCGTCCGATCAATGTACGACCGCACCCCGAATCAACAATGCCGTACCCCGGCGACGAAATCAGGGACGCATGCAAGCTCTCTGTAGCAGACAAACACTCAGTCATTCCAACAAAGGCCGGCGCGAGAGTGTCACTTGAAGTGGCTTCCACATAGCTGACCCCAGTCGTTGGAGAAGGCTTGATTGTCTCCTTGCACTCTTTCTGCCAGTGACCAATCTTGCCGCATCGGCGGCACTTGGTACGTTTCTTCAGCTCCTCAACCTGTACTCGAAACTGTCGTCGAGCCGTGCCAGTTGTCGAGGATGAAGAGACCGACCCAAACTGTCGTGACTGTTGGACCTTCGCAATCTCCTTGCGTCTCTCCTTCCAGCTCACCGCCAAGGCCTCGGCTGCTTCACTTTCTGAAAGCACCAGATCATCGTGAAAACTGGGTTCAACATCATGATCAGCCAAAAAGGCCTCGACGTCCTGGAACTGGTTGTCCTCTTCTTCAGCAGGAAGGGCATCTTCACCTGTGACGAGTTCAGCTTGGAACACGGAGGCACTCTTCTTGCGAGCTGCAGAGGCTTTATACAGTGGAAAGCACGAACGAAGAAAGCGGCCGAGACCGCATCATGATCTAAGCTGCCGTGTGTCTTGGCCTTCACGATGGCCTTTTGCTCTTCATTCAATCCAGCACAATGCAAGGCGACCCAGCCTCGAGCGGCTGGAGGGAACTCCACTGATGCTTTGCGTTTGCAAATGTCAAAGGTCTCTTTGACCCTTGCGGTCCACACCTTCATGGACTCTCCTTCTGCGGCCACCAGGCCGAACACATCCCCCAACACTTCTCCCATCACATCATGCTGTTCCTTCTCTGGGAACCGATCGCTGAGGGTCTCCCACAGCATTCGCTCGCCGTCGGCGGTGGCGAGCTCTGTCAACGAAAGATGCTCCACAGCGTCCCATGCTTTGCCGTCGAGGAGTGTCAACAGCCATGGTCCCCTGGACTCTTTCTTGAAATCCTTAAATGTCATCATTTTGGCCAGAGCCCAGGTCCTCCATTTCTTCAGCTGTTTACCAGGATCCTCTTCTTCGCCACCGAACCTCTTCAGACCTTGGTCTGAAGATGACGCCATGTCGCCGTGACCAGCCGCGGTCACTCGATTGCCCCGGGTGGGGCTCCGCTACCAAAGTAGCAGCGGTAGCCCCACCCGGGGCATCGCACCGGCGCCCGTTTTATGCCTGAGCAATCGGGTTCCTGCGGTTCATACGGCCATGTCACGATTCACATATATATATATATATGTAGATATACACTGTATCTGTATATATATATATATACATTCACGCATGGAAGTTCCTAAGCAACTAGTTGCTCGCAGCAGGTTGCGGACGTGGCAGGTGCCAACCTAATTTACTGACAGCAAATACTGACAAACTTCCCACAGCAGAGTGGAGTGCTGCTGTAGCGGTGAAATTCGAGGAGATGCCTATGATCCGGATCCAGAGATTGATGCCATGCTGTGCGAAGCGTGTGCCACTCATTCACCCACGCCCCGATAGGACATGATATAGAAAGCATTGTGCTTTTCTAAGGTCCAACAGTCTACAACTGAAAGTGTGGGCCTCGATTTAAGTTGTGTGGACAGCTCAGGTCCATCATGACATGAGGGCACTTGAAATTTGACTGAAAGTCCTCCAAGCTTTCTGTTTGGCACCAGGTGTATGATGAGTACGAAAGTGCGCTGGAACGGAGGACTTTCTCTGAACGTCATCGGCCCTGGAGACGGGAGAGTCTGGAGAAAGTCGAAGACATGCTTCCCGCTCGGCATGTACTCAACTGCGGCCTTGCCTTTCTTGTTCTAATTGTTCTGTCTTGTTCTTCCTTCGCTGCCTTCTTCTGCTGCTTGCTTTGTCCTTTTTCTCTTTCTTCCTTCGCATGTGTTTAGGTGAGTATGAAGATTTCGAGAGGTGCCCGAAGAAGGGGAAGCTGCCACTCAACCGGAAATCGTTCAGAATGAATCCCAATGAAATATTTCAAAATCTAGGAACTAAATCGAGGGATTCCTACAGGAAGCCCCCCAGGCGGAGGGAGATTTCTTGAGTATATAAGCCTGAGCCCTTTGTACTAGCAGTGCCTAGCCTAACCCCTTACTGCATTTGATGCTTTCTGAAGGTTTGTCACGGCCTACCCTCCCTAGTCGTCCTTCCTAGATTTGAATGTCTGTTCAGACGTACGTTGGCAGCGGGACAAGGTCAGAGAGGCACTAAGCCACAGGACTTCAAGCGAACACATAGACCAAGATCTCCCTTTCAGAGAGCCAAAGAGATTCAAAAAGGACACAGAAACAGCTCAGAAAACATATATAATAACAAATGAACGTGACTTCAGCTATTCAAGCGCAAGCTTGGAATCGAATTGAGATAGGAGTTTATCATCGACAACCGGTGGCTCAAAGCACAGCTGCGACGTCAGTTTACTCCATTTCTTAAATACCATCACAGTGACAAGAACCCACTCCTCAGGACAGATGGCCTGAGCTACCGCAACAGCCCTGATATGGAGGAGAGAGCATGTCCCGCAGGGAATGAGGAGCAGAATCACATTGGGCACGCAAGGTGCGCTATTTGATTGGGCCACTTGGGCCACTTCAGCCACTTCAAGTGGCCGAAGTGGCCCAAGTGGCCGAAGTGGCTGATTTAGGTTGCTGTTACTTTGAAAAGAGATAAGACTCTAAGGTTCAAGATAAGGTTGAAGTGGTCCATGTGGCCAAAGTGGCCGAGGAAGAGGACTTGGCAGAAGTCTGAAAGGAAGGTTGAGAGAGGTCTTGGAGAGAAGAGATTCGATATTCGGGTTTCAACAGAAGAGAGAGGTCTTGGAGAGATTCGATATTCCATACGTTTCAACAGAAGAGAGAGGTCTTGGAGAGAAGAGATTCGGTATTCAATTCAATAGAAGAGAGTCTGAAAGGAAGGTTGAGACAGGTCTTGGGGAGAAGAGATTCAACATTCAATACTTTTCAACTGAAGAGAGAGGTCTTGGAGAGAAGAGATTCGACATTCAATGAGGAGGTTTTATAGGTAAAGCAAGAGGAGAGGTGCCTACTTGATTAAGTAAGGGAGGAAGCTCCTAGCTACTACAGCTTCTAGTATCTGCGAGCAGGATAGCTCACGCTTCTTCAAGGAAGCCCTCACACTAATGATTTGGTTCCTAGATTTTTTGGGATACTGTAACTTAACTCTCGAAAATGAACAGAACAGACCACCAGAGAGGTCAACCTGCTGGCGGCCACATGAGCCACTTCAGCCACTCGAAGCGACTGGCCACTCCAAGTGGGTTCAAAATGGACCCGGATTGCACGTCCTCTGTAGAATCACGAACTGAAGAACGCAGTGTTCATGGAGTCAGCTGTGTTATTGGCTCCTTGGCAGGATCATGATGTTACACGGCCAGTTGCGCCCTGGCACATGCCTCGGCAGCCTTTTGATCGACATGATAGACTTGGTTGCCAACTGCTGTAGTTGAAGTAATTACTGTGTCATGAATCAAGTCCCGTTCAAAATTGCACCAAGCCATTACATTAGGCAATTCAACAGGGCAATAATTTTGGCCACTAGTTCCAGATCCATATTGCCTCAGTTTGCAAGGTACTCTTTGGTGTATGGCTATGACCTGGAAAATGGCTGGGCCTATTGCCCAGCTGTGCATATTCAAGATAGGAGAAGCATCACTGTGGCATCTCTTGTTCTCCTCCTGGAGTCCTGGAGAGGGAACGCCAGGGTGTGTCACCAAAAGGGAGCCCTGGGCATTTGCTTGGTACATGCCTAGCGTACACTGCAGCGCAGGGTGCTGACCTTCATGGGTTTCCCTCGCAGAGAAATGAATGTGTGGAGAGAAACTAGCACTTTCGTGGCTAGGTCGAGGTGGAAGGGGGAGGGTACTTGCCAGCATTCGTGAACGATGTTCCCGCGCAGCCCTTAGAAAGAAACTCACTTGACTATCATGTTCTTGAATTCTTGAAGCTTTGCATAGCATCATAGCAGGTTCTTACGATACCAGAAGAAGAAGCCTGACCCGTGGAGGCTCAAAACAAGCGTTTAGACTATAATTTTCGCACATAGGATGATATAGGATGAACAGCGGTACAATTTTCTTGCAATGATTGGCTGGTTTTCCTGAAGTCAAGCCAGCATCAAGTGCGGAAGGCTTAAGTGCTCGTGTACGACATGGCACAAATGATTACATGAGAGTTTGTCGTCCTTTAAGTTGGATGATGATGCAATTCGCAAGCCAACAACTAGATGCTTGTAGGAGGTAGGGCTTGCTGCATGTTCAGTTGTTAGGCACTCACAAGCAGAGCGTGTAGAATGCTCTCCCAGACTGGCCACAGGGAGCGTGTCACCGGCACCGTTGAATTGGAAGTGTGTGAAGCACTGTGAAGCCACACTGACATTTTCAAGTCAACAGCCTAATGGGTTTTGGTGCAACACATCGAGTCTCACCTGTCAGGACATTTCCCTTTTGTCTAAACCTTTCCAAATTCACGCCTTATGAAGTGGAGATTTATCAGGCCCGTTAAGTTGTGAGACGAGCATGAAATGCCCTGAGCCTTGAGTTTCATAACTTGCCAGATGATGAGAGCAAAATGTGACGGAGAGTTCAAACTTAGCCTAGCAATGCATGCCTTGCGTTCCCTGGTGACGGGTGCCCACGGTCATCTCTCTTACAAAAATTCCTGCCGGCAGTTCGAATCGGAACGCAGCCTGGCCAAAGAGCCAAGGGCTGCTTTGCACATCGATCTGACAAGAGCAACACACACACAGCAACGCTGCATGGCCTTTGCGCGCTGCAAATGTTGCCAAGATGTGAGCCGTTTAGAATGGAAGCGAGCGCAGACTACGTGCAGTTTGTTGAGGTTCTGAACTTAGGGCCTCGGGAAATCAAAGCAGGTGTGCAAGAAGCTTTGAGGCGATCTTTCTTTGATGTCGCACAGCCTGAGCAAAAGCTTAGAATGCAAGATGCTGAAATCTTAGCCAACTTTGGCAGCATGCTATTGGGTGCATACCGGACCAGTGGTGCTGAGGAACTTTTGCGGGCATTGCTCACAGTGCGCCATGCTTCCGTTGAAGTTGCCCCAGAATTCAAGCGGCTGAAGTACAAGTTGGCTTTGGCCGATGCGCTGTTCGACTTATGTCGTCACAGTGTCTCTGCATCGCTGGATGCATTAGCTTTGTTCTCGGCAGTTGAGGAAGAGTTGGGAAAAAGAATGTGCAATGCAAAAATCGTGCTATTACTCAATCAGCTGGATCGTGAGGCTGATGCTGAGGATTATGCTACCCCATGTGGGCTGTCAGCCAAGCGTTTGCACTTGCAAAATCCCGACATTCCAACACAGCCGTGGTGGACGCTCAAGGATCCACGCCTGCCTGGATGGATCCGGCAACTTGGGCAAAGTGCTGTGGCGAAACGAATTCGCTCGGATCTGTGGCGCTGTGTCGCGAAGGAGCCAGGTGCCTTCGATGATTCGGCCAATGATTGGTATTTCGTCGGTTCCAGGCACCGTTGGACGGGACTGAATTTGATGCATTCTGCGCGGGGCGGGTGGCAACGTTGGTGTAGCAGTTGTGCGAGAGAAACTTGCGAAAGGTTACGATGGCGAATGGACCTCAACTACACTCTATGGGATGAGCTGAGAGGTGCGATCAGGGGGGCCAACTACCCACCTCCAATGTATGTCAACTTCTATGCCCTGGCTCCGGGCGCCCACATCATCCCACATTTAGGCAATGATCTCCGATTGACTGTCCACCTGGCACTAAGCGTCCCCGCGAGAAATCAGTCTCGAATACGAGTTGCAGACAAAACTGTCAACTACACACGCACTGGTCAGCTCTTGGTTTTTGATGATGCATACGACCATGAAGTCTGGAATGATGCGGAGTCCATTCGGTATGTGTTGGGCATGACAATTTGGCACCCTGAGCTTCTCAAATCCGTAGCGAGGGGTCACAGGCTGCTTCCACCAGTGCCTCAACATAATTTTGCGCTGTGCTGGAGGGGCAAGACAGGCTTCAAAACGGATTTGCTAGCAGTATGTCGTGGACGTGTGCTATGCAATCGGACCAAGGGGGCTTAGGGACTTTGTAGCTGCATCGCCTTGATCATGCTGCTCTGATGTTTGTGTTGTCCACAGGGGACGCAGAGCTCACTTACTCTCGGCGAGTTCCAACAGATCCCAAGATAGCAATTGCCGTTCCAGTCTCAGTTGGGCTCCGGCAGGGTGATGCATGTTCTTCATGGTTCTTCTGGAAAAGCTACACCGAAGACAGCACTCTGACCTGACACGGCAGCTGCAAAAGCAAGGAGCGTGCGAGCACCATTTGTGGCATTGACATTGAGGTGTTTGTTGTTACAAGCTGAGATCGGACAGATGCTGATGCCTTGAACAGTTTGTGGCCTGGAATGGTAGCATTGTACCTAGGGGAAGACCACTCTTGTTTCCTCATTGGACATTGATGTCGGAGATTCGGATATTATTTGTGGAAACAGTGAGCTTTTCATGGTGCCGATGCGTGTGTGCGGCGAGTGTTTGAGCGTGTGTAAGCTCAGCCCAGTCTGCATTTCTTTGGGCGTTCGAATGCGCTTAGGCTTAGAGTCCTTAGAGTAGTAACTCTTTGTATTTTGTGCTATTGGTTTGTTGACCTGTGAGCGACAGAAGGGCAACTGCAGCAACTGGTTTGATATGTTTTTCCTGCGCCTGTTTTTTGTGAAGAGCACATGGCAGGCAATGTCAGGTTTGATTCACGGTTGCAACATGATTGCCCAAGCAAGAGGTCCAAAATCGAAGGTGATCCAAAATGCTTGATTCGTACAACCACAGCATCTGGTTCAAGGATCAGCCATAATGAAGTGTGCCCGCGTGGTTTTTCTTTCACTCCTGGTGGGCGTGGGCTGCGAGTTCTTGAAGCGAAGCAACATAGCCTTGGAGCCAAGTGAGCAGGCTTTGCCAGAGCTGCCGCCAAAGAAGACCGCACCTGAAGTCTACGTGCTAGGGGTTTTTGCACCAGGGTCCTTTTTGTTGGGACTTGGGGCAGTTGTGCTTCTACGATACTATGAAAGGCACAACCCCAGTTCTGATATGGAGATTGTAGAACGACAGCCCGAGAACCTGGACGAAGATGTATATGGAGCTGGAATTGCAACATTAGTGCGAGATTCCTTTAGCTTGGTTGATGGAAAAGGCGATATTTTCCTCCGAGTCTCACGCTTGTCAAGCAGCATCGTTCTTATGATATTTGTCATTTCGCTGCAGATCTTTGTCATTCTACAGATGCAAAGCTTGGTTGCCAGCCGTGCTGTGACAGAAATCCGTCAGATCTATGGCAGGTATGAATTTGTCATGTATGGTGCAGAAATGACTCATGTGTACCTGACACCGAATGGGTTTCCTAGAGGTGCAGACAAGCAGTACTTCGACCCGGCAAATTTTGGCCGTTTAACAGAAGATGAGCAATCGAGTGCATGCAGGATTCCCTTTTCCCAACCTCAGCTTTTGCTACCAATTCTGTTGCAAGACAGCACTTAGTAACATTTGACGCGCCAACTTCAGTCCATGCCTCACATCTTTGAGGTGATGGGGGATATATAGAACTTAAAACAAGGCCGATATTTTGTTATCAATTGTGGCCAAACACCTGTCAAGCAATGCTGGCTGCTAGTTGAAGAGAAGGTCGCTTGGGTCTAGGCTTTGGCTTGGCATAGATTGGGCACCGAAAGGCTTTGACCCATGGAAGGGAGAGGAATTCTTCAAGAAGAACGTTTGCCAATTGACCTCGGACAGGATTGCTAGCTAGGAGCAAGACGGGGGCCTTCAAGTTCCTATTGATAGAAGATACTGTATATAATTGTATAATATTGTATATATATAGCGTATTCCACAGCATCGCTTCAGAGTGAGTACTTCCTCAGTGCCAGTACTCTCCTTGGCAACTCCTTTTCAAACCTTCAACACCAGTCCGACAAGCAGGCTGATGTCATAATTTCAGGAAAAAAAACTCCATTAGACACAATATGGAAGCAAGTCACCTAGAGGCACGGGAATCTATATATGTAGTATAACAGTTTTGCGTTTTTTTGGAAATCAGGGAGGTTGCATGATCATCGAGCGCCGAAACTTTAAAGGAATAATTGCAGGGAAAACAGGATTTCAGAAAGAATCCCAAACCACTCAAGAGTCGGCCATGCTTACATGGAGTGTTTGAGACATTCATTGCGTGGAGTGACTGGCCAACCTTGTGGACTTGAGCCTAGTTCTTGCTACTAGTAGTAAGGCCAGGAGCCCCTAGCAGCGTCCTTGCTCCTAGTAGCGATGCCCTTTGTTCCTAGTAGCGAACCTTGTTACTAGCAGTAAGGCCAGGAGCCCCAGTAGCGTCCTTGCTCCTAGTAGCGATGTCCTTTGTTCCTAGTGAACCTTGTTACTCATGTTTGGCATCGAGCTCAAGCACTTCAGGCCACAACAAACCCACGGCCCACGGGACATGTGCCACCACAAGGATACCAGCAAAATCTCTCATAAAACGTTATATAGTAATGCCGAGTCACCACCAGCTGGTTGGAGTTGTTGGCAAGTCGGGGACATCTCGGGGTTGGAGGTTCCAGGATTTTTGAAAGGTGTTACTGTTTGCTTGGGTCAAACCTATTTGAGGAAGGTCATTGCCACTGATTTTATTGGAAAGCCCCTGTTCAAAAATAGCTTTGGGCACCACTCGATTGCTAATGTCACCGTGTTGACGTAGGATTTTAATACAGTACACTTGTGAAGCTGTGCTCAGGGAACCACTGGTAGACATGAAAGGATTATTTTAGCAAAATAACTGCTAAGTGAATTAGAGAGAGAAACAGCACCATCAAAAGTCTAGTAAACCTAAAAAGAGAGGTCATATGTGTGCTGAAGATGTTTGAACTGAGAGTTTGTTGGTGGCAACTTGGCAAGAATTTTCTGCTTCGTCACTAGAGTCTAGACTCTAGACTCCACTACACTGTAGTCAGTAGTCACTAGACTCTAGACTCACTGTCATTTCCAAGTCTGGGTTCGAGGACGTCTTAGCCAAGCAGGAGGCAGCTGGCCCTCAGTCCATGTAATTATGAACTGCTGCTTCCTCCCTGTCATCCGCTGGTTCAAAACCAGCGTCCATTGCAGGCGGTGTGCTTCGGGCTCATGGTTATGCCCGGTTATGCCATATAGCCTATCTCCATTGTTCAACCCATGTTTGTCGGGTCAACAAGTCACGGTTCAGTAAACTAGTCACTAGTCACTGGTCACACTCCGCTGCCTGCCTATTCTATTCTATTGTGTGAGGGTTTCAGAGTCGCTATTTGTTTTCTCTATTTTGGATGTTCTGCTATGTGCAGTTTTTTGCTATTTTTCGAGGAAATAGCAAAAAAATAGCAAATCCATTAGCAGGTGGGAAATATTAGTGGAACACAATAGTGAGAGACATAGAGCAGGGCAGGGAAATTGCAAATAGTTAGAGCGGGCCTATAAGCTAGTTAGCTGCTAGCTACTTACTAGCTAGGACCTAGGACCGAGGACTTATAGGGCCACCGAGAGACAGGAAGCTGGGATACATCAGGGCCATGCAAAGAAACCATCGTTCAATTAAACGACTTAGTGACTGTCGCAACTGTCTCAGGGCTCCCCGCTCCCTCGCTCTCTCTCTCTCTCTCGTGCGGACTCGAAAAGGGAATACGTGATGCGGTTCCCAGGCGACCTTGGGAAGGCGCCTGCAACCGGAGTCTGCCTGCTCTCTCTCTCTCTCTCTGGCATCTCAGGATATCTCAGGACTTGTCTCAGACTGCTTTCCGCACCCTAATCTATTTCACTATGTGAAGCACTATAGAGTCCCAGGTGCTTCCCCCCTCTCTAAATAAATCTGCAACATTTGTGCTAAATAACTAAATCATGATTTTCAATGGTTGGCTAAAACCAGACTTCACAACAGTACACGATAATTTTAAACAGGGGTCAGAACGAAAAGAATCCGCCATGCATGACCTGCCCATCATTTGAGGCACGAGGGATCGCCAGTTTGTTGCACTGGTTCAGAGGTCTGTCAACTCCAAGCTGTTTGAAAGTGATGCTAGGCTCCCTTCTAAGGTTCATTTGGACACTGACTGTTGTTGCAGATCTCCGACGTTGTGGTGACCTTTTTGTACGCCTCATACTGGCAACTCCTACGACGCACAGCTAAGAGTCCAGATTCTGCTGATTTCTCTTGATGACAAATGAGACAAATGCGTTTCATTTTTGGTTCTTTGGCGTCACGAGAAGTCTTGTGAGGGACTGTCTGGCTGCGGCTCAGGGGTAGCCAGAATTGATTGAACCACCTCTGATGTTCGGCTTGGAAAGTGCCACTCGTGTGCTGATATTGAAACCCAAGGATTACATCTATGCGTGACGCAGTGGTGGAGAGTGACGGTGAATGTGAGATCATCGTGGGCTTGACGCGTTCGATCAAAGTCCTGCTGATGTCAACCTGCGTTCTCCCTCGCTACTTCATCAATGTCTATTTGCTTTGGCTTGGATGCCGCTGGCTTGCGGCCACGCCGAGCTTTGGAGACCTTCTGCTGAATGCTGCGCCTTGAAGCACACATGCCAACCAAAGTGTTTGTTCATTTGTCTTTTTCCCCGTGAGCTTGTCACATTGCATTCAGACTTCGAAAAGTCAACCTGTTTGATCAGGTCGCGCTGGAATTCATCCTGTTGCTCAAAGATACCCTATATGCCGGCGTGGTTCCAGACCGGAACAAAAGAGCAACCCAGAATACTTTGATTCAACCCTGGCAGAAGAGTCTCAGTGGCAGAAAGATGCAAGCTACGAGGCTAGGTATCGTGTCACCGTGTCAATGTTTCAAAGCTGAGGACGGAGCCGGCCAACTATCGTGTTTTCCTGTCGCTGCTTAGATGCAAATAGCTTGTTTTCTTACACACGGTTCCTTTCCTGAACAGTGCTGTTTTTGTGATCTATTTGGGGCCCATTGTATATATATAGAGGTCATCGTTTTCTTTTTCTTCACAACCCAGGTCATTCTTGTTGATTTTGGTCACCTGTGCCTGGGTGCCCCGGGCCAACCTACCTACCCAACCGCTGGTTCTGCTGCTTGGGAGACGCTTGCAAAACGACCAGCGCCAGGTACTCTACTACGTGTACAAGTTCCAAGCTGTACTGCCTGATTACAAATGGGACGTGGCCCAGGTTTGTGCAGCTTGACATAAACACGAGTGACTCTTTGCATGTATTGATTGCACTTGACATAAACACGAGTGACTCTTTGCATGTATTGATTGCACTTGCGCAAGGTGTGTTCCCAGTCAATCATGGAAAACAAAGGATAGACTGTGCAAAAGTGAGGAGCACGGCATGTATATTTCTTGAATTTCAATCCATTTGGTCAATGCGGCCCCTAGAGACAGAACGGGAGCTCAAAGTTGAGACAAGGCTACAAGTTAGAATGCTTTGCAACATTCCATTCCTCCCCTGCTTCTGTTGGGTTTCCCAATCTCTTTCTTTTCCTGTATGTGTCGAGGCCCCAGTTTATGTCCTCATCCATTCTAGTTTATCGAATGTTTTTAGCCATTGTATTTGATTGACTGTGTGGTGCGGAGACACTACTGCTGCCCAGGTCCAGATATATTAAACTAGTGACAAAGAGCCACTCAGGAAGTGCAAAGAGAGGCGATCGAAAAGAAGGCACTCCAAAGTCTAAAATACAATGTTCAAATGCCCGCAGCAGCATGTCACGAAACACTTGGAAGCTCTGGCTCTGACTGATATGACATCAGCATGCGAAGGAAGCTTAAGACTTGTATGATGATGTGGTGGTGGAATTGTAGCCTTTGTGTGTACGGGCTGGCCTCCGCGGGGGTTAGTTGTTTCACTGCCTGTGCGAACCTTGGAATTCTGACAAAGATCAACATCGACCAGTTGTTATGTGATGCAATTTTATTTCCGTCCAACATGTACCTTCAATGTATTTTTCACTATCATCTATTCAGAGCGCTTCGCGCTCGAAGCCGCCCGCAGGGAGTGTGTCTGTCTCGGTCTGTCTTGCTCGGTCTGTCTCTGTCTCGGTCGGTCTGTTTGTTTCGGTCTGTTTGTCTCGGTCGGTCTGTCGGTCTGTCTGTCTGTCCGTCCGTCCGTCCGTCCGTCTGTCTGTCTCGGTCGGGCAGGACACACGGACGAACACACTCTGACATTGGTTTTCAGTTAGCTCAGTTCCCAAGCTGAGAAGGAAGGTGAGGGAACAGCAAGGCGAAAAAGTCAGGTCACTTGAAGTGTTGAACAATTGTTTCACTCAGTGGTCAAACTCTCGCGCGGTCGGCTGCAACTCACGAGCGGCTGAGAACTGCGGTGGAAAACCTGTTTGTGGGAGAGTATCGTGAAGAAGGACCATGGAACCAACGAACAGCAGCAGGGTGGACCATTGGAGTCGGTGTGTTGAAAGCAGGTACGTCAGTTCCGCGTCCGGAACTGATATCCTCACCATGTATTGCCAGCTTCGTTGATGGAGAAGCAATACAGGTGTCTCCATCCCCTGCTGAAGAAGCATTCAAAACTAAAAACAAGGTGGAACCCTTAGGTACAGGGGTTGACACACGGTGCCGCTTTGCGGCGCTCGTGCGAAGAACCTGAATAGTGAGAGAAAGCCCAAGAAACGACCAAAAGCGCAAGAAAGAATGCGGGGGGGGCAGGGAGGTGTATGTACATGTGTGTGTCCGTGTGTGAAGTACTGATTACTTAGCGGAAGTGAATTAAATGCAATAGTTAGGGAGCGGGACTTTAGTCTTAGACCGCCCGGGTAGAGAAGACTAGAACAGGGACAACAAAGGGAAAGGCACCGACACACAAGTGTGTCGAGTACCATTTCCTTGCGTTACCCTAATTAGGTAGGGAGTAGAACTCGGTGGGGGGGGGGTTGGGAAACATGCCTGGCCTCAAGTGAGATGAATTCCGTTTTTTAGCCCGGCGGCTGTGGTATCCGTGAAAGCCCGGCGGCTTTTTGTTCAGACAATTCAGTAGTGAAACAAAGTCGGTTAAGAAAATCCGAATGGTGGAAACGAAGAATCAGTAACACGAATTCCGGAATGATTGCAGCGCCTCCTTGCGGAGGATCACGCCCAGCACCCAAGTGGGACGGCTGAGCGGTTCACACTCTGACATTGGTTTTCAGTTAGCTCAGTTCCCAAGCTGAGAAGGAAGGTGAGGGAACAGCAAGGCGAAAAAGTCAGGTCACTTGAAGTGTTGAACAATTGTTTCACTCAGTGGTCAAACTCTCGCGCGGTCGGCTGCAACTCACGAGCGGCTGAGAACTGCGGTGGCAAACCTGTTTGTGGGAGAGTATCGTGAAGAAGGACCATGGAACCAACGAACAGCAGCAGGGTGGACCATTGGAGTCGGTGTGTTGAAAGCAGGTACGTCAGTTCCGCGTCCGGAACTGATATCCTCACCATGTATTGCAAGCTTCGTTGATGGAGAAGCAATACAGGTGTCTCCATCCGCTGCTGAAGAAGCATTCAAAACTAAAAACAAGGTGGAACCCTTAGGTACAGGGGTTGACACACACACACACGATGTCAATAATGCAGTCTCCCCCGGGCTGCATATCTGGCATCGCGAACGTTTACCTCCGAAGCCACATCAACTTTTATTAATCTTCAAAAGCATCAAAAAGTCCTCACAAGCACACCATTTTCGAAACATGGAACTTAGCAGAACAACGCGTGCGTGGAGGTGATCAACCTTCCCTTCCCTCATCGTGGAGTAGCTGTGTTGGCACAGGTGTCCACAATGGGGCATGTGCCCCATGCGTACATACAGCAAAGGAGTGCTCCAATGGTTCTGCTACCGAACATGCGTGGTTGTATGAGTGTGCTCCTGTTGGCCAGTGATGGGGGTGTGGTACCTAATGCAGGGGCCAGGCTTGTCACATCCAGCAAAGCTGAGATGTGTGACAGGAGACGCGTGAAGGACACCTTGGCGTGAAACTGTTGGATGTGACCCTGCTTGTGTGTTTGCATGTATTTTCAATGGTTCCACTTTTCTATGTTGTTGCGTCGGTGGGCACCTGGAATTAGTTTCGCTGCTCAGCCCGGCGCAGGAGACGCATCAAAATAAGTAAAAATGCATCAAACGAACAACAAAAATGCATCAAAAGACATAAAAATGCATCAAAAAACATATAAAGAAACGAGCAAGGGAAGAAAGGAAGGAACGAAGGAAGGCAGGAAGGAAGGAACGAGGCAAGAAAGGAAGGAAGGAAGGCAGGAAGGAAGCAAGGAAGCAAGGAAGCAAGGAAGCAAGCAAGCAAGCAAGCAAGGAAGGAAGGAAGGAAGGGCTAGCGGGAGGAAGGAAGGAAGGTAGGTAGGCAGGTAGGTAGAAACGAAGCAAGGAAGCAAGGAAGGAAGGAAGGAAGGAAGGGCTAGCGGGATGAAAGGAAGGAAGGAAGGAAGGAAGGCTGTGAAATTGAAATGCGATGTTGCAAAACTTTGCCCAGATGCCCAGCACAGAGACCATTGCAGTTACTGTATCAAAGCACTATTCATTGGGGAAACTCCATGATGTTTGTTTTTTGGTCGTGCCAAGTTACATTGCGGGGGAGGCGCTGCGCTCTCCCCCGCGCCCCCTCCCGCTTTTAATTGTTGAGCGTTTTCATTTCATTCATTTCATTCGTTCATTGACTCATTCATTTTTTCTTCCTTCTTTCATTCATTTGCATTTTCATTTCATGTGATTTACTGTTTGTGTTTTTTTATTCTTGTTATCACTGCTTCGAATGGAATATTGTTCTTCCCTTTGCACGTTTGGGTCCGTTTATTTTGTTTTTTTCTTGATCACACTGAAATATGTCTATTTTTTGATTCATTTATTATTTTTTGTTGACCCCCCCCGTTAATGGAATATTGCTCTTCCCTCTGCACGTTTGGGTCCGTTTACGTTTTTTTAATGTTCTTTTTGATTCATTTTTGTTTTTTCTTGATCCCCTGAAATATTTTATTTTTTGATTCATTTTTGGTTTTTATTGATCCCTCGCCCGCCAGGCGCCGGGTAGTTCAGCAGTCATGTACATTGTACAATGTGCCGAGACCTGGATATTTTCCCGGATCTCAAGTTTTTTATGCAATTGACACCTTGACTTTATCGTTCTTGTTGGTCAGACCGCGCAATCTGAGTTTAACAAGGTTAGACGTACGCAACATTTTTTTTAACCATGCACATCTTCAATGGCAAGTGTGACATTTGCGTAAGTTTCTGCACGCTAAGGCATCCTATGTCAAGGCAATCACGAGCGGCAAGTCCAGGTGAGCGGGTGAAAAGTCTCATTTAGTGAGCAGCACCGCGTTTCTGAATCACATCTGCAGCGTGGAAAATGGATGTAGTTTCTAGGAGTGTCTCAGTGTCCAAATCTAGCACTTCACCCTTATTCCCAAGCCTGGGTGTGGATGCCAAGAATGTGTGAAGAGCGTGGGCATCAGTCGATTGTGGTTTGGATTTGGATCAAGCACGTCAGGCAAAAGGTTGAATTATATATACTCATTCTCACCCTGCCATGCGTCGAGCGCCAAAATTTATGCCAGCTGCAATGTTTGGCGGCTTGGCTGCGTTGCTGTGGGGCAGTTCTGGGTTGAGCTTTTCCATCGATGTGCCTTTGATTGTGCAGCGGCACCATTGCAATTCCTTCAGGAAAAAGAAGACTGCAGTCTATGCGGGGTTGGATTGCGGCCCAAACGAGGTTGCACTCCTCAAGAAATTAGAAACGCGAGAAGCGCGGGAGGCATGGCTTAGATTGCTTGAACATGGTCACGAAGACTGGGAAGAAGTCAAATTGGCATTGGGTCTTCTTTGGAAAAAAGCCGCCGTAGAAGGCCGAGATGGGGGACCTTTGGGGTACCCGATGGCCTTAACCCGGCTTCTTGAGGGCATTTACGAGGGTCCCGATGGTGATGCCATTCTTGTGGCAGATATTGAAGCACGCTTGACCCAAGTGCCCGCTGGTGACCCTGGAGATCCAGACCAATGGAGGCGTTCGGTGGCACTTGGTTGCTTCAAAGAGCTTGGTTTCGTTGCACGTGGCCTGTAGCAATTCTATCCGCTTCTGTTTCGCCAAAGAGCTGGGCAAATGCCCTAGGCTTTGCCTAGATCTTGCCAGATAGCCGGGTAAAAGAAACGCATGTAAATTGTGCCTTTGCAAATAGAGCATCATGAGCATTCTGAGGGTTTCTGGCCATCGTGTTCAGTCTTCTGATCACTATCTTGTGTGCCAGGTTTATACTTGGTTCAAGGACTCATTGGCGTGGTTCCAGCCATGGCACCAGCCCTGTCTGGCAGATAATCCAGCCCTGTCAGGCGTAGCCCAAGAGCCTTGTTGCAAGGGCTTTGCCCAACATGAAGTCGAGAGCGCGGTCCTTCACGCAAATCCATGTGCAAAGGATGTATCAGTCGATGACATTGCCAGCCCTATAAAGCATGGTAGATTAACATCCCCTAGTAGATTCTTTGTGTTCGCAGCGCAGGATGGCTAACTTTATAAACTTGGTGCCTTCGGGTGGCCCTTGGTTGCACTGGGCGTTGTCCTTCTCCTAAGAACTTCAGGAGCTGTTTGGCGATGAGTGAGCTGGCCGCTGAATTGGAGTCCTTCCGCCTTCAGTACCCATTTGATGATGCAGCAGCTCGACCCTGTTTGTGTCCCAGATGCGTAGTGGGCGGATTCGGATTCCCCCTCTCTTAGGCCTACAATTATATTGTGAACTCCAGCTTGGAGGCGCTTAAACGGAGTCTTCCACACCTTTGATCTCATATGAGTGCAGTGCACATTTTAGCCGAGATGGGTTGTGTTTATATGTATATGATGTGGATGTATGTGCTGATGAGCACTGCGAGGTGCAGAAGGAGGTGCTGCACGACTTCAGGCCGAAGAACGAGGGTGAGCAGGACAGATGTGGAAAGCATTTGCTTGCCAACTTTAATCGTGCGAGCCTCCAGATACTACACCTTGTGAAAGGACTATTCTGCCTTAATCATCAGCTTCACGAAGAAGCGGCGACAGCACACAAGCTGCAAGAACGAACGTGGACGGACTGCCTGCCCCAGAGAAGGAAAAGAGGGCAAAGTTTCAAAGGGAAGCTGCGCACTTGCAGCTTCAGCGCTTTGCAAACGTTTTCTTGCCAAGGTTTGCACTTGAACGGCGGCATAGATTTGTTCCTCGCGCGGATGTCGTGGCCACTCGCTTGGCCCCTGCCCTCTTTCCCACTGATTGAACTCGTTGGAACTTTGGCCATCCTTAGTCATCATTTGTTCCTGTTTTGGTCTCTTGAGTGGTCACAACCCTGTCAGGTGCCTCAACTGCACCCCCACGTCGACATCCCAGTGTCGCGAGAAGAACTGGAGGCTATCGAGAAGTAAAGAGAGGGAGTGGGGCTGTGTATGCAAGCAGAAGTGGAACCAGACTGCAGCTTCTCCATGTACTGGTATCAAAGTTCATTGACTTCGCCTCGAGAAACACAAGGCTTTTGGGTCTTCAGCCCACATAGGTTCCGAAGTGGCCTAGGCTATAATATAGGCCGTTTTTCAGGATGTTCACAGGATGGGATTCCACTGATTCCACTTTCCCTGGTGGGTTCCGTGAGGTTATACAAGTGAGGTTCCAAATTGGGGCTCCAGCTGAGCCAGAAAGTTCCTTGCTTCGGCCCCAGGCAGGTTTCAGGAGCTTCCGGAAAGTTCCGTGAGGTCCCAAGTGTAAACTTAGCAAGCTCTGGTTTCTGGAAACTTCGATTGATACGGTTGACCAAAAGCAGAGGCAACCCCACTGTGCTTTTGCGACAATAGTATGCAGTTGCCTGGGGAATGATACATACAGGGATGCCATTTTGCTGGAAATGAATCAAGCCAGATGAAAGGGGGGGAATCGACTTACTTGGGGCCGTCTGTGGATCACTAAAGGCATTCGCCGAGTGCAACCTGCTGCGTAAATAGAGGGAAGCTGTTCCTTATTTGCCATGAATGCTTCTAGAATTCTTTGTTTGCCTATGTAATTTGTACCATACGCGCGCAAGAATGCACTCAGCCTTCAGATCCCCTTTTGCCACTGCGTTGAGCAGAGAGCCCATGCAGCTTAATTCCTTTTAGCAGCGTGCAGGCTTTCAGAGTTCGGTATCCATGTGATGAGGACAATTTCGAGTTTCCAGGGCGAAACAGTGCTTGAACTCTCTGCTTATGTCGTCGTGCTGCAGGACGCTTTCAGGTACGTTGCATCCTCGCCTCCAGAGGTTCAAAGGCAAATCATTCAAACCTTCAAACCTCCACGAGAGGGTGAGGAGGAGCGAAGTACGGAGTTCTTGCAGCTAGCATGGAGTAAATCACAAATTTCAGAACGACCATGCTTTCATTTTCTTGCATCTCATGTTCAGAAGTTGCATCCACGAAGCCCCACTTCTGACTGCATTGACTGCATCGTAATCCTTGACTTTCCAGGATTATTCCGCACTGGTCATCACCTTCGCCAAGAGGTGCCGGAACTCCTCGCAGACCCACATCCAGACGCACATCCAGACGCAGGCAAGATGAAGCATGCAAGCATCATTTGAGATTTCATCGTTGATGTGTATATATATATATATATTCATACACTATACACACCAAAAATGGTTTATATACCCTTCTAACGAGAGCACTAGTGTTTGCGGTGTCTTTCGTAGCTGTTTCTGGGGTGCATGGTTTTGATGTATATATTTATTTTTTTGCGGAGTTGGAGGGGTACCATAATATAACTATATACATATATGTACGCACAATTTGCCAAATCGATGCCCCCTAAGCAATCCTTCAACATGTGGTCAAACTCCGCCTATTCTGGACCATTCTCGATTGATTCTCAAATATATATTCTCAATAACCTTAAATACTACTTGAGCGCGAGGCAAGGGCATTGAGGAATAGAAGAGGTTGCTGCGGAAAGGGAAACCATATCAGCAAGGAAAGATCAAGATAAAGAAGTGAACACCTGTGGAGTTAAAACCTTCTTTGTGCAAGAGCAATGTGATTGCGCAACCGCAAGAAAACATAAACACACTGGAAGTGCTCCCCCTTGGATTTGGAGCTGCAAATATGATTTTTGATACGTGAAATGTCGTGAAATCCATATTCAATAAACCTCTTATTCAGGTTTTGTTGTCGATTGCAACGCGAATTGTGCTCTTGTTTTTGTCACGGTGAGGTCCAAACGACGCGTGATATGATGCATCTGGACGAATTCATGTATACGCCTGCTTCTGCTCCTTTGCTTTCTGCTCACCACATATCACACAAAAGGTGCTTCTGCTTTCTGCTCATCTGAAGGTCTACATTGCCTACAAAATCCCATACCAAGCGCGCTTCTACTACTCTGCTTCGTCCTCGCGTTTTTGAAACGATCGAGAAGTTAGACTCTATAGACTTTTCACGAAAGGCAGCCTCAGGCTACCTGAGTTCTTTTTGCTTTAGCAAACATGTATTGCAAGCAGGACTTTGCCATTTACCTAGAGTTTGGGTCCTGTAAGAAGGGATTCTGTTCGACAGGGGGGGGCCCCCCTGGATCAAATCCCCCCTGCGCCGTTGCGGATGCGAATCTTGAGATGTTTGGACAATTCTTGAGGCATGTTTCTTTGCATAGTGTGCCCCGCTCAAACTTGAAGTCGAACTCAAGCTGGAACTGTTAGAGCTCAACCCTGGAAGGCCTCAAAGTCGAATTCGAACTCGAACTCGAATTCGAGCTGAAACTATAGTAGGTGAGTGATGTTCCGGATGTTCGGGTATCGCCTTTTAATGTTCCTCTAGTTGTGGCTTCGGTCTTCACTTCTTTTATATAGGCTTTCTTTGGCTTTGAAATGGTGCAGGGCTTCACTACTTTGGGCTTGTCTTGCTTGGGCTTCATTACTTTGGGGTTTGTTTGGGCTTGTCTTGCTGGGGTTTCGCTGGGTTTGCGGGTCTCACTTCGTTAGGGTTTCTTCAGGCTTGGCTTCGCTTCACCCTTCACTTCTTTGGGGTTTCTTTGGCTTGTGAGCTTAGGGCTTCACTTCTTTGGGGTTTCTTTTGGTTGGGCTTCTAGGGCTTCATGTCTTTAGTCTTTGCAGGTCTGAGGTCTTTATCGTGTCTTTGGGTTTAGCGTCCGAAGTTTGCTACTTTAGGTTTTTGGGGGGCTCGGCTGGCAGGTTCAGGGTTTCTCTGGGCTTGGCTTAGGGCTTCACTTCTTTAGTCTTTAGGGTTTCTTTGGCTTTGGCTTGCGGGGTTACTTCATCAGGGTCTCTGTGGCTGGGGGCTTCGCTTCTATAGGATTTGTTTGTTTGGGTATGGCTGGTTCGCTTCTTTCATGGCGTCTCTTCTTTAGGGTTTGTTGGGGTGGGCTGCGGGGTGTTCGGGTCTGACTTCTTTCGGGTGCCTTTAGGCTTGGCTGAGGGCTTGAGTTCTTCAGGGTTTCTTTGGCGTAGGGCTTCACTACTTAGGGTTTCCTTGGGCTTATCTTGCTTGGGGTTCGCGGGATTTTGCAGGTCTCACTTCTTGATGGTTTCTGCAGGCTCGGCTTAGAAGTTCACTTCTTTAGGGTTTCTTTGGGTTGGTTTGGACGGAGCGTGGCGGGCTGTTCAGGGCTAACTTCTTTCGGGTTCTTTCAGGCTTGGCTGAGGGCCAACTTTAGGGTTTTCTTTGGCCTTGTTTTGCTTGGGCTTCACTACTTTGGGGTTTCTTTGGGCTTGTCTTGCTGGGGCTGAGGGCTTCACTTCTTTAGGGTTTGTTTGGGTATGACCTGCAGCCTCCGGTCTGTTTCTTTGGGAACCGCATGCTGGGTCACAGGTTGACATGAGCCACCGCCAAACCACGCGCAATGTCAAATTCAATCAGAAGCGCTCGTGCCTCGAGACTTGGACTCCCCCGTTGCGATCCTCTCTCCTTTCCTCTCCTGCCCATTTGCTGCCTTTCGTTCACCCCCTTCTATCTCAAGTTGAGAGTAGCGAATGCAATTATATATATCTATATATGTGTAGAGAGCGGGTGGTCATGGGGCCTGGGTTTTGGTTTTACCAAAATTTTAGGTAAATGCTTCAGTGGCAGCCTCTCTCCATACAAACACACATATAATCTATTCCTGCTCTCTCTATATGAACAAATATATTATCTATTCCTGAGTCAGGGTCATTTATTGTTTTGGAAGCAGAAATCATTCAGATGGTTTTGAACAAGATAATTAGGAAAGAAGCAGGCCATAAAAGTGTTTATTTTAACAATTGTCCTTCAGATCTCTGCTTATATTTATGTTTAGATTTGGAAAGATTTTATATAGACGAGTTTTTGTTAGAAAAGATTCTCTACAGATCTCTGCAGATAATCATTTTTAGATTTAAACAACTATATAGAATTCTTGTATGTTAAAAGCTTTCTTCTAATTTTCTGCGGGTAAGAGCTGATGTACAGTTTCATGTCAAGCTGATTGGGCATGCAAGTGGCAACCACATTGATACCAATCAGAAGTTAATGCACAGACTTGTACATGGAGATTTCGACAAGGACAAAGGGAGTGTTGGGCTCAGATGCTTTCATTCTAAGAGCAAAGAACATATGCCTTTAGGTGAGGCTTAGGCTCACATGCTTGAAGGTTGAGCGAAATAGTAAAAATACAGATTGACCTATATAGGAAAAAACTCGAGAAAAACAATAACAACCTAGGAAGAACGAAAAAAACAAAAAAACATTGGGAAAACAAAGCAAAAGACAATTCTTGGGAAGTCTTGAGGAAAGGGGGGGGTCCAGCCAAGAGTCTCTGAGAATTGTTTTTTTGTTTTCACATGTTTTTTTCCTAGGTTGTTATTGGTTTCCCCAAGGTTTTGTTGTTTCTTTTTTTGGGGTGTTTTTCACAGTTTTTGTTTTTTGCTGCAAATTATTCAATGTTTTTCACCAACAGTGTGGGCACACTGAGGGGTTCTTACGGTAAGGGAAAGGAAGCTGATGCTTAGATCGCTGAAGCGCGCGGGCGTGTGCGGCTGATTCGCGGCTATTTGCAGTACATTCATGCCTCTCGACATCGTCCATGTGCACTTCGACTGCGCAGGCTCGTAGAATCTGGGGGCCTGCGGCGGGTGCTTCCAGCGACTGTGCTCTCGTTGTGGTGCCGTGCACGGTGATCACTTTTTGTGGCAGGCGCAAGGGAAACCTCGTGCTTTGGTGCTCCAAATTAAGTCGACTTTTCGTGACAGGTGCAAGGGATCGGAGCTGTTTTACTTCGAAATGCAGTTTTCGTGGCAGGCGCAGCACTTTGGACATGGCGGTGATCGTCAAGGAGCTCAGATGTCGTGACAGGCGCAGTGAATCGTGACTTTTGGACCGTTTGCAGATTTCGTGGCAGGTGCAGCAGATTTCGTGAGAGGCGCAGCGCTTTGTGAACCTCGAAGTGTAGATTTCGTGACAGGTACAGCGCTTTGTGAACCTCGAAGTGCAGATTTCGTGGCAGGTGCAGCACTTGGTGAACCTCGAAGTGCAGATTTCGTGGCAGGCGCAGCGCTTGGTGAACCTCGAAGTGCAGATTTCGTGGCAGGCGCAGCGCGCGGTGGACTTGGAAGTGCAGATTTCGTGGCAGGCGCAGCGTTTGGTGGTAGGAACACCTTTTTTCTGCAAGTTCTTGACCTCTCGCAAGTCACCTCCGCGTACTGGAGTTGTACTACCAAGTCGCCAGTTCTCATCTTCCAGCTCCCCAGATA